AGTTATATCATTTTGTCGCCCCGACATCAGAGAATCTGATGTTTATAGTTTAGTTAGTGTCAGTTGTCTATTTAAGAAAGTCATTAATCTCCTGAACTATTCTGTCAACTGGTATAATCTCCAAGATCTAGCGTCTCCCCGTGAATAGCTCCTTGTTCGCCTCAGGCCTGAGCTTGCAGAATTAATGTTATCGACGTGTATATTCTACCTTTTCCTGGCAAGCTCAACCTCTGATTAGATTATATGATGAATATACATAGGAAATTACCCTGATCAAGAACACCGGAGTTCATAACTAAGTATACGGTGATCCAAAATGGTAGAGAAGTTATGTTGTTGGTGAGATCGACCTTTCTGGTATGAATACGGAGGCCCAAGCTGCCCAGCAGGTGCACATATATACCTCTACACGAGGGAGAATCACGCATTCGTGACTCTTCCTCAACGTCTCTCCAGGTATGTTAACGTGTGTTCCCCGCCGCCTAGTAATTCAGTTTAACTTAGTCAATTTTGGTGAATATCAGTGTTCATGTGTTAACATAGTGAATTCTGTGCCAATTAAGTAGAGTAACGTAGAGATTTAGGTATCGTCTGAACCGTTGCCAGGCGTATGTTTTGTATAGTTGAAGTTAGACATTTACGCATTCGTGACTCTTCCTCAACGTCTCTCCAGTGTGTTGAGCTGAATACTCATCGGCTACTGTGGGTCAGTAACCGGGTTGGACGATGCCGTTAATTCGACAGGATTAAACTGGGAAGTCTGTTTCCTGCAAATCAGGCGCCAGCGCCCTTGGCGTGTGTCGGTCTACAACCCACCCCTAACAGCGATCCTCAATTGTTGTTGAGACCAGCGTTGCCCTGGGGCACTCCTCACAGTTACATGGGCCTAAGTATTATTGTATCTTGTTTGGGGGATATCTCGCCGAAATATAGTACCCCAGGTTAAGTATTGAACCACTGAATGAGAGTTAAAAGTGCCATGTTGTTCCTTGCCAATTAACAGGAGGTATTGTAGGTTGCGATAATTGTGGAGTTGTCCAGTGTGCTATGTATTCATCGGTAGTGACCATGAAATGATAATCTGAGAGTATAATGATATAACCAAGAAGTGAAGAGTTAATTTGCTACTTGGTAAGGTAAGACCTGAGGTTCCAGTGATATCTGGTGTATACCCAGTACTGAATCTCATTTGGCAGAGTGATAATACCACAATTGTTGATTGAAGTAATAAGTATTTGGAGGTATTTAATGAGGTAATAAGTTCTTGAAGTGTTTGATGACTTAATAAATAAATTGCAGTTCTGTTTTGTCTGAGTGAATCTAAGGTACATCTTATTCACTCACTGTGTTAATAAATATTGAATTAGTAATCTACGAGTATCACCACTCTATCCTTTCCCACATTGGTTCTCAGAAAATAACTAACTCACGTGCCTAGAAGCTCGCTACCTAACAGTTAACTAAGGGATGTAATATTCTAATAAAATCCTGGGTGGTGGCAGGCTACCGCTGTAAGTATAATAAGTGTGGTAATAAGAAAGACATGGTTCCCAGGTTAATCCATGATTTAGAATATAACGAACAAAATATATGGAAGAGAATATATGATATATGAAAGGAAATGAAAAGAAAGAACATTGACTTGGAAAATATAAGCAGAGAAGCATAAGAGTTACTTATATAAGAATATATAAGAATATAAGGTATATAGAGATAAAGAACATATAAGAATATAAGCAAGAATATATAAGAATAAGTATATATGTAAAGAATTGAAGAATGATAACTATATAAAACAGGATACTCATTGGAAAGAATGCTACAAAGAATATATAAGTATATGAATAAACAAGAAGACTAACAGAAAAGAATATCTGGATGGTAAATTACAAAAAGAGAAAACTCGGCCCGTTACAATACTACCACACAGCACTATGTTAATATTACACACTGTCCTGCACCACACAATACTACCACACAGCACTATGTTAATATTACACACTGTCCTGCACCACACAATACTACCACACAGCACTATGTTAATAGTACACACTGTCCTGCACCACACAATACTACCACACAGCACTATGTTAATATTACACACTCTCCTGCATCACACAATACTACCACACAGCACTATGTTAATATTACACACTGTCCTGCATCACACCATACTACCACACTGTTCTGTTCACTACCAAGCCCGGGGACTACTACTGACCTGAGCCAGGGACTACTGACCTAGGCCGGAGACTACTGACCTGGGTAAGGGAGTCTGAACCAGGGAGAGTTTTTGAGGAGGTCACCCGAGGAGTCAGTTCGAGCGAGAGAGCCTGCAGGAAGGACGTCTACAGCGGTCAACACTCCACACAGCCCCCACGAGATGCACATTACTAAGAGTACCTGGCAGGGAGAGATATCTGTATTCACTAAGACCAATAAATTAGTTCGCATCGCCTGAAGAATCTCCACCCCAGCTTATTTCACCTAAAGATTAACCACCCTAATGCAAACTTAGCCTAACCATCCTAAACTAACCTAACCTCATCCCCTTTTCAACACCTCAAATATTCTTCAAGTCACTTTCAAATTATATTGACTAAATGCATCGTCAAGTAAATACATTGTTTGTATACCTGCACTGTTTATATAAAATGGTTGTATACCCGCAAAGTAAAATTATATTATCAAATTTTCGAAAATTCCACCATAAAAACAAATCCTATCTCGAGTATCCACAAATTCAACAAAGTGAAAAATAAACTATAGTTCCTCTACCTACAGTTATTATAAACTTTGGTGTACTTCTTGGGTAGGTCCGCCAGAGATCACTGTTTGTCTTCCTTCTAAGTCAGGTTCACACAGTGTCTTAATGAGGTTTATATCAGGCTGTCAATATTGGTTACTTTTCCTTAATTATGACATTACTTTTGGAGGTGTAATGTAGTTGTGCATTATTTTGTGTCTGTCTGTCTGTCTCTACACCTTCCTTCTCTTTCCATACCAAGTTCTCTGCTTCTCCTTCTCTCGTTCCCTCCCTACCCCCCCCCCCTCTCTCTCTCTCTCTCTCTCGTTCTCTATCCCTACCCCATCCCTCCCTCTATCCTTACCCCTTCCATCTCTCTCTTTATCCCTACCCCAGTCTCTCTCTCTCTCTCTCTCACACACACACATACATACATACTGGGAAATAAGTGAAGAGTGGGATCCATGCAATGTGGAAGCCCCTGTTTGAGCTGTAGCCAGGGAGGGGCGTCTTGATGTTCTTCATGTACTGTGACACCAAGACCAGCAGCAACAAATTCCTGCAGAAGTCAACAGGAATATTGGATTTACTTCAGAATTCTTAATATGAGGTTAAAGAAGGTTAGCATAGATAGGGTAAGTTAGCATAGGTTAAGTTAAGTTATAGGGTAAATCATGTTAGGTCAGGTTGGCAGAGGGTTGGTTAGGTTAGGTTAAATTTGGTTCTGTAGTTATATAATCTAACTTACCCTATCCCAGTGGCGTACCCAGAAATTTCGTCATGAGTTTACCGTTCAAATAGTGATGCTATTATTTTTATTTATTTCGTTATCGTTATTTGACCGAAAAAAAGAATGCTCTGATACTAACACAAAAAAGTTAAAAAAAATCGAAAGTGTTTTTCGATGACCTACCACCTGGCTGTTTCTCCTCACTACCACGTCACAGCTCGCTCTCTCTCTCTCGTGTGTGTGTACAATGAAAGCCAAAAGTCTCGTCGTGAAATTTGGTGAAAACATACGCCGAAGGGCTAAACTTTTGGTGCGCTCTGCCTTGTGGTAAGGGGCTCTCATAATGTTTCACGAGTCATATTTAATCTTCGGACAAAAACCGCTATACGACTTTTGTCTTTAATTGCACTGTACATTCGTGAACGCTTATACAAGTATTCACAGCACACCCCAAGAATGTGAAAGGTGACTTACAGAGCGGAGATCCCCCAGTGTGAAGCCGCCTGTTTGGTTCCCAGTTCAAATAACGACAGTCCCAGCATGGTGATGGTGGGCACGATGGTGAGCGGTGATATCCACGTCATTATAAAACCCGAAATACCTGTGGGAGGAGAGTCATGGTGATGGTAATAAGAAGGCTATGTATGTATGTATGTACAGTATGTATGTATGTATGTACAGTATGTATGTATGTATGTATGTATGTATGTGTGTATGTATGTCTTGGTCCTTAAACTCACCTGTAAAGCCGATAATAACCTGGAAGACAGAGGACACAGTGATAGCGCCCTGGACCTCTCTCATCCTAATCTGCCATTCCTCCTGCTTCTGCGACTCCGACAGGTTATCTAAGTCCAGACTCTCACAGGAAGGAAACGTCGTTATGAGAATGGTGATGGTGGGCATGATGTAGGCGAAGTTTGCTCCTTGGATGATGGGTAATCTGTTGGAGAGGGTGAGAGGCACAGTATTGCATAAATGATTTCACTGTATCATTATTGAACATGACACAACCCATTTCTCTCCTTCAGTTGTGGTAACCGAAACTGGTGATGGTGGTCAGGGTATTGTTGTGCCCTCCCTCCCCGTTCCCCCAAATCGAACTGGTTAGGTGTTTGGTACTGAACTTGGAAGGTTTAATCAACATGTAACAAGGTCCAACACGATGAACTCCCGGTGAGAATCGTGCCAAATTTTTAATAAAGTGTTGCCATGGTTTGATTAATGATGACATACTGTACGTACTTTATTGCTGGTTAAAGAAAACAATGATGCGAGACGGTTTCAGCGGTGACTACATTCATTTAAAGTAACAGCGACAGTTCAGATATTTTTACCCTGTCACAAGGGCGGATCCACGGGGTCCGGATCTCCATTTTCACCAGAAAATTCCAATACTTTTTCTTTAATGCAGTATTGACTTCAGAATATCTCCTAATATCAAGTGGGCATGGCTTCAAAATGGCCATGACCTTGGTCAGATTAAAAAAAAAAACATTCTGCGCTCGCCATGTTCCCCCACCCACAACTTCTTAGACCCCTCTTTTGATATTCCTGGATCCGCCCCTGTAGTCATACTGGCGGTTAAAGAGCAGTACTATTTTTTTCCAACCCCAATAAGAACACAAATAATTATTTATTAACTTGACGTCTCTTCTCTGTGTAAGACTCATTTAATCGAAGTCTTTTCATCATTCAGTCCAAACACGTACAAGTTCTCTTAGTTCATTTTTTACGTGTGTGTATATGTGTGATGACGTTAAAACATTCGCAAACATTAACGTGCATCTCACCTTCTAACTAAGTATTAACTCAATGCGTTATTCTTCGTTGGAGTCGACCAGAATAATCCATTAAATATTACACATGCTAAGACTAACGTTAAATAGTGGAGCGTTTGTGTTGAAATTCTGAAGGAAAACAGAGACGTGAGGCTTTGACTGTCAATGAGCATATGGTGAGCAAACTGCAGTGTTCTATGTGAGGTGGCGGACAGGTGGTTGTGTGTGAGGGGGAGGTGAACAGGTAAACAGGTGGTCGTGTGTGAAAGGGAGGTCGTGGGTGTCAGGGAAGAGTTGCAACACGCTGGGAATTAACTTTCGAGTAGGCTGAAGAGGTCACACACACTGGCTGTTAGGGGGGTAGGGAAGACTTACCTGATGCCGCAGATACACTGAAGGAGGGTGACGATGCCGGACACGAAAATGATGGAAGAGATAATATCGCCTCGCTGGTGGTCTGTCTGTTCCATACACATAAATTTAATGACGATGAGAGGCGTAGATATCGTTCCACCGACGAAGATAAGGAAGTGCTGGAAGGTGAGAGAGATAGTCCAGGTTACCCAAGGTTCACGTCCATTTTTAAAACACTCTAAGCCTTGTAATCCCCCCACCACCCCACCTGCGTAAACGTGAGAACTCCTATGTAGATAAATCCCAACTATGATCTTGTAACAGGTATAGTGACGTTGGTAAAGTGCATGGGCAATGTTACACAGCCTAGAAATGTAAACACCCGTTATTGGATGTGTTGCTTGTTCAATGCCGCCATCGAGGACTTGGCTAACTAATTAAACTATGGCCTATGGATATCAATGGTAAGAGATTTCAGGGACTCAAACTATATGTTGTGGTTCGTGTTAAAGTTTTTTTTTTAGGGTATGTCACAAAGGTCTGATCTCACTCGGTGTGTGTGTGTGTGTGTGTGTAGAGAGAGAGAGCTTGGAAATTGAAGAAATAGAACGTACAGGAAGTGTTTTATGCCGAGTTGAGTAAAAATAGGCAACAGGGAAGACGACACTGATGAGAAAGGCAGAGGCTGCAAAAGACCGCACAGCTTGGAGACCTGTCATCAAGTATAGGCCTGACTAACCTGAGCTAGGCATGGAAAGTGACTCTAATGCAGCGAGGGTGATAAAGGTAACAAGTTACTGTAACCCTGAAGTTAAATATAGGAGTTAAAACACGAGGGAACTGCGAGAGACAGCACAACCCACCTCACCTTCAACACCAAGCACGCCATCCACCTATATTACGTAATCACAATGCAGCAGCTAACAGATGATTTGTGGACACAAATAAAGCAAGATACATTCAAACAACAATAACGACAATATAACAACGCTACTCTGCCACATTCCCAACACACAGCTTTTAAAACCCCAAGAATGGTGTTCGATGTTTATACGTCATTACTTTTACTTTTATCCTCTTCATCACTGATCGGCTCGTTAGCCGCTTGGGCGATCGGTCACGTCTCTGTTACGCACTGTTGGCAAGTACTACGCACTGTTGAGCAAGATCACAATGTCTAAACTGATGAAATTGGTCACATTTTTCAGAGAGACATACACAACACAGGTCATGGCTACCCAGTGTATATATTAGGCAAGATTCTTCTGGGGCTTTTGGCAATGTTTCAAGTGCATAATCAGCCTTAACTAAACATGCATAGCTATCTTGTGACCCATGCTTGTAACCTATCATGTGACCTATCCTATAACCAATCCTGTGACCCATCCCGTGGCTTATCCTGTGACCGATCCTATAACCCATGCTGTGACCCCTCCTATGACCCATGATATGACCCATTCTATAACCAACCTGAGATACAATTACTTACCGTGGTTGGAAGTTACCACATGTTGGTGACAGAGAAGGATGTTTGTACAGTACAGTAGGCGGACGATGATAGACAAAAACAGATAATTACACTAAACTCACCTGGAACCCAAAGAGCAGACACTGGTACCATGGCGGGATGTCCTCCACGCCGTAGAGAAGGTCTCCTGAAGTGTGTGTGTGAGGTCCTGTGTTACCCTCTGGTTCTTTGGTAGTTCCTGGCTGCTCTTTAAACTCGTTCTCTTTACCCTGCTCCAGTACCTCCTCCTGGTGGGTCTCACACGCGGTCGCCATTATTGAGGTGTCTTAACAGTGCACGAAGGAGAGTTGAGTTGAGGTGAGGTGAGGTGAGGTGCTCCTGTGTGTGACGGTTGTGTACGGACTGTTGAATAATAAAACATACTAGAATAAACATGTACTCAATAAACACAACAGCAAATCAAAAGACTTAATGTAATTGGTGGGTACATATTATGGTGAGTACATATTATCAAATGTTGAAAAGTGAACATTATATTGAACAATATAACCTGCGTACTTTCTTAAAATATAAGAAATAAACAAACCCAAAACACTATGGTAAAAAAACAAAAACAGTTCACGTTATGATTGCTGTATACAGACATGGAAATCCGACCACTAGACCTAACACCCCTAGATAAGGTGCAACTGCAGGCCTTAAGACTAACAACTCTTCAAACAAGGCATAACAGAGTAGATCTCATAAACATATTCAAAATCCTAAAAGTGAGGGAAAACGTGAACCCGGGACATTTTCTTTGTGATATCACGCACGACCAACACGAGGGGACATAACTACAATTGTCATGCAGGACGAACACAAGGAAATACTTTTTCACACAGAGGCTGGGCTTCAAAATAGCCCTGGAGAAGACCGTCAAAAACAACGGGGGGACAGGGATGTGACTGTGTCTTGAAAAAAAAATTGAGCTGGGGGGGGGAGGGGATACGGGAAGTGTTTGCCATATTTAACTTAATTTCTCACATTGTTACTCATTTCGTGAGCGTTTAATAGTTACAATTCAAAGTACCCAAAACCACACATGTATGTTTATTGCAACAATATTTTCCATGCAAAGAGTCTTAATAATTCCTTTACCAATTTGGTTGTTACTAAACTTGAAGATAAACTATAGGGTAGGCTTTTTTGCACTATATTGTGTGAGAATTAAAACTTTAATACTTACCAAAGGGATTTATCTCTAATGCACCAGCAACTGGGATTTCAATAGCATATGTAGTACTAAAATAAGAACAATAAGCTGTTCCATGATTTATACAAACAAAATATTGTTTTCTTCCCATGTAATATTTACTCATTTGTTGTGTTTTATTCTTAGTTATTATTGCATCAGCTAGTTTTTTTCAGGGAGAGTAAACACTTCTGTTTTTGTTGCTGGAAGGCCTCTCTGATCTGCCTTGATTTTTGAGCCATTTCCTCACACTGTTTTCTTTGATTCTAACTGTTTCTTTAGCAAAAATGTTCTCTTATTTTCTTCCTGCTACAACCTCTTCTGGCTTTAACAGGCTTCTGTATCTACTGCTGGACAGTTTTATGTTCCTACACATCATAGGGTCTCCCTCCTGGGGGACACACACACACATGTCCTACAGCCCTGACCTCCTGGGGAACACACGCACATGCCCTACAGCCCAGATACACACACATGCCCTACAGCCCAGATACACACACATGCCCTACAGCCCAGATACACACACATGCCCTACAGCCCAGATACACACACATGCCCTGCAGCCCTGACCTCCTGGGTAACACACGCACATGCCCTACAGCCCAGATACACACACATGCCCTACAGCCCAGATACACACACATGCCCTACAGCCCTGACCTCCTGGGGGAAACACACACATATGCCCAACAGCCCAGACCTCCTGGGGAACACAAACACGCCCTACTGAATTGCCTATACAACTATAAAATATGGCATGGGTTACAGAATAAATTGTGATCATCAGAAAGTGTAAAATGATTATAGAAACTTAGTTATATTAAAAAATGCTTAACCTCCCACCCCCTCCCCCCCTGGCGGCGGGGGGGAGGGTGGATCAAGTGGACATGGTGGAGGGGCATATCATAATGCTTCTAATGGTGACGTTGTATGACGTCATTGATCTTCGATCAATGAAACACTAAAGAACCAAAGAATGGAATGTAAAATACCAATACTCAGCCAATGAGACAGTATATGATGTAATGCATGAACATGTAGAGTGTGGCCACTATACCGGTGTAAGGGAGGAAACGATCCTCCGGCTGGTTACCGCTGCTAACTCGCTTGTTTGCTGGTACAGACGACACTTGGGTGGTTGGACAGAGGTGAGAACGGCAGCCACTATCTGTGTCACCGGGAGGTTCAACCCAGCCGCCATACAATCACAATCTAGCTACCCGGCTGTCCGTCAAATTCTGGCTGTGATCTCATCATAGGTCCTGGACTCGTGGGCTGTGTTCCCAGACCTTCACCTATCAACTGCCAACTCTCTGGTCATCTACCACTACCGTCAGTTCTTCTCATTCCGTCTGTGCCCCGGTGTTCTCCTACCATTTCAAGACGTCGCTCTAGTGTGGAGTTGAATGGACGCTTCCCTACCCTGAGTGTGCATCACCGTGTTCCAGAACCTTCCCCCAGGGCCACTGCCTTAGGAAATATTTGTTCATTGTTTGATTCTATGATTGTTTGATTCCATTAATTGCTGACTCCCCTTTATTGTTTGATTCTATCAATTGTTGACTCCATTTAATTGCTTGAATCCATTAATTGCTGACTCCCATTATTTGTTTGATTCCTTAAATTGTTTGCTTCCTTTAATTATTTGACTCCATTAACTGTTGACTGCCTTAATTGTTTGACTCCCGTAATTTTTGAGGTTTGTTGAGTGGTGTCAGAGTTTTGTGTTATATTTTTTATAGTAAAGAGATGCCAATCTCAAACGGTTGTTTGTTATTCCTCAGAAAACCATGGTCCTTGACTTTCCTTTATTAAGATCCTGATTAACCTGGTAAGGGATTTCTATCCCTAAGTCCCAGGCCTTTACAACGGGCCCATCGTCCTCACGCGGTAGACCCATCCACCCTATAGAGGATCAATCATTGTTATTAATTGTCAAACATTTCTCCCGTCACAGTCCCCCCTTTTCTCAGCGGATCTACGCGATTCACGTGGGTCGCCTAAAACGATGGGAAAACCGCAAAAAAAAAATGGGGATATCACATCTCTGAGGGCTCATACACAGGTCACTGGCCACCTTTCTTCTACATAGTTACCCCTAGTTTGGATGGTCATTAGCTAAATTAAGTTATTTCATCAGATTCAATATAAATCAGTTAAAGTAAACTGCAATGACTCCCGTGACAAAAAATTCCACACTAAGGGACAATATCCCTTGCCTTATAAAACCTTGCGTCCCCAACCCAGAACCAGAGGAAGGTATTATCCGTATGGAGACGACAGTGATAATGACAACCAAACCAGCAGTCCTGCCTCACGGGGCCTCACCAACACCTCTCACTGTACACGCTCAGTTTCTCACACACTCGCCACCCAATGAGGCCATGGACCTTGCCACATCATGTGTACAGCCGCCCAGCTTCGTAACTCCTTTAAAATGTTGATACTAAACGACTGACTTACAGAGGCTTTACGCTGTACCTCAGATAGATTTCCTGCAACTGATGAACAGATCATTAAGCTCGATAACAAGCTGTTCACCTCTGTATTGTACCTTGAGCCAGGAGTGTGATGGCGATAGACAAATCAAATTATAGAAATAATTTGTAAATTGTTTATTTATCTGACTTGGCAATATACTATTCACAATAATTCTGATATTAACGTCTAGGCTACGAAGAATTTGGCATAAAAGAAAGGAGAGAGAGAGAGAGAGATTCTGTCTTTGGCACTGTACTTCTTCTGACACAAATGATACGGTCGCGGGTGTAGTCAACAACAGGAAGATGAACCGAGGTGGAAATCCTAATTAGTAAACATGCCGGTAGATCTCAATTCACAACAGGAACTCTTTTGTGTGGTGCTGTGGGCAGGAAGGAGGGAGAGAGAGTGAGGAGGATGCCTGTGCTGGAGGTTCCCGACGAGCGAAAGTGTGTGTGTGTGTGTGTGTGTGTGTCGACAGGCCAGGTGATAGGATCGTACTTTCTCTAGTATTAGAATTTAGTGATGTTGGCAGCATTATCAGGTGATAACGCCCTTAATGTTTATTTTATTGGTGCTGCATTTCCAAACCCATAAAGATAGGAACAATAATGAACTGTAGGTGCGTGTGTGTGTGTGTGGTAGTACCATCTACCTCTCCCACTGCTTTCCCTCTCTCAGCTCGACAGAAATGCACAACCTATATTTGTGTGAGAAGTAATACACGATGTGTGGGTTGTGGGAATGGGACCAGCTGTCAAAATCCATACGGCAGAGATCCATCACCCGATGACGACATGTCAGACGATAGTAGTGAACCCACTCAGTCGGAAAATACTGTCCATGAGGTGAATGACATACAGTCAACAAATTGGAAAGGCTTGTCGGGGGACGATGTGGAGAAGTGGGTCAAAGAAGTCTACTCAGAAGTGGTCAGGTGGTCGCCAGCTAACCTCTTTGACCCACCCTAGTGTGCGGCCACCAAAGAAATAATCTGGGAGACGACTCGCCTCATAGTCAGTTACACTCACGACACCTCTCTGGCCCCATTAGCTCTTCAAATACTGGCAATTATACCCCATCTATTCTGTCAACGGACACACGCAAGGACTAAGAACAATGTAAACGTGACAGAAATGAAAAGACTGACAATGTGGCAGAAAATGGCTCTTGGTGATCTACGCGAGGCAAGAACATTGCAGGAGAGACTAAAATTCATAGGAGACGGAAAGCAAAATATTGAGGATATTGCCAGAAAGTTTGTTAACAAGATGTCTGTGGGAAAAGTGTCCTCGGCTGTAAAATCTCTCACAGAGGAATCTTCTGGTGGTGTTCTGCCAATAAACAGAGAGACATTACAACAAATGAAGGAAAAACGTCCCCCTGAAAGTGCAGAGGAAGGCATCAGGTTCCAGGGTGACTATGTCCCCCCAAATGCTGTCCTGTTCGAGAAAATAACAGGAGGGATGGTGTGGAGGGGCTGGCCCTTCAGGCCTGGAAGCAGACGGTTGGAGAGTCATCCTCAGCATTAACAAGTTTGGTGCCGAAGATATTGACTATGAGGCAATAGTCACTGAATGCCGCAAAGATCTGCGGCTCAAGTAACTCAACACTTATGGATTAGGATATTCAAATTTAATGTAATAAAATGGCGGCGAAGGTGTGGCTATTGTGGAAGGCTGGAGGCCACGTAAAAAAAACAAAACAAAAAAAACGGCAGCAGTTTGGAGCTCCAGTAAGACCCTAGCAACGGTATAGGCGACCAACATGGGAACCCAACTGGGATATTGGCAATGTATTGCAACTCTCCCTCTCCCCAGTCGTTGCAACTACCTGCAACGTTGGATCAAGAAAAGAGAGAGCCAGTTTGCGAGGTTGCAGCCTGCGCTTATGCCTCACCACATAAATCAACTCACGCGCAGCCATCACCCAGCCCATCACTCTCCATCATCATCCGAACCCCTAAACCCCGAAAAGTCTTTTGGATACACGACTTAGGGAAGCTGAAGCTATGGTGATCCCACAACCGAACTTCATTAGACATGTGTATGATAAAAGTTCTGTTTGTATGAGTACAGTAGAACATTTACGGACTGGTTCTCCCATCACCCTGAGACAGAGGAGAGTGATTGGCCAAGTAAAGGTGTGACTTGATTCCCATCGAAAACCTGTGGGCTACCGTGTGTCAGGGTTGGGTGGGTGAGATCAACACTGAGATCCCACAAAAACACGACACGTGGGGGAACCTGAGACGCAGATCCAACTTTTTCATGAACACGGAAATGTGGCGCATATTTATAACCTTTGTAGTGTTGAATGATTATTTAAATGTTTAATCATATGTATACAAATAATTCACAATACTAATAAACACAGTTAAAAAATATAATTTCTATAAAGACATCAATCTCCTATAACCTATAAAAAGAAATTACCATCCATTACCAGGCACAGGCAACCCCTGTTTTCCGCCCACGGGCACCACACACACAATGGCAAGGTAAGGAGCAGGTCTGTCGGGATTTCCGAATCTTGTTTACCAAACACGCTGATTGGTTCAACCGCTCGCGTTGTGATTGGTTGCGAGTCCATGACGTAATTACTATTTTCCATAATATAATTTCTGGTGAGGAATAATGAAGATCCCAGATACAGTAATTATATTAGAGTAGTCCTCATACTCGGTGAATTTCATTGTTCCTGTCATTAGTTTTATAAATTTCTGAATAATAAACACTGCATGATACACCATTCAGAGTGTTATATGAGATCACATTGGAACAGACCGTTGGCTTCCTTGTCTCGACTCTCGATATCGCTTCGTGTGTGACTCAGCAGAATATAATTCTGCTAAAATATCGCTCGTAAAATGTAGGTAAGGTAATTAAATACATCTAAAATTTATTTATGTGTATTCTATATGGTATTCTAGCCATGAAAAAGCATATTTCCTAAAGTCGATAATTTACCGACTGTCGGAGCAGTGACGTCACGGCTTACCGACTACGTCATCAATTTACCGATTACCAGATGAAGTACCGGATTTGAACCAATCAGCGTGTTCGATAAACAAGAGTCGGAAATTCCGACAGCCCTGGGTAACAACTTGTGTGCCCATCAGTCGCACCGCCGTAGCCATGAACGGCAGAGGTATGGTCGTTGTAGTGCTTTCATTTGCCCGTTACACATCTCTCACCATGCTTAATAATATTAACTATCTTCATGACATTCTTATTGTTATCAGTGATTGCGGAATTCAAGATGTTATGGTCCACCTACACACAACCTGTTACTAGACTTGTAGTGGATTTCTCCCCTACAAACGCTGTTTGTCTCTGAGTAGCCGACCCCGCGAATTCCCCGGTGTATGCCTCCTGGTCTAGGTCAACCAGCGCCGCCCACGGAGCTGGGGTCAACTATCTACCTACGCCTACCTCCGCTATAAAAGACCTGACCGCGTGGTGACCTCCCTCTTTCTACCTACACCAACCAGCAAGCAACACCACCTCCTCCACTCTTGCCTGGCGGCCCTCGCTCCCGCTGGCGAGCATAGCGACCCACAAGCTGGTCCTCCTCTGAGCACCCTCACCAACCAGCTCTCTCTACATCACGCTTGTAACCACGCTGCCACTTCCCAGCACCAAGCTGCATTGTACATCCAATACAACATGTATACAGAGAGCACATTGTGAGTTTCCTTTCTCCATCCCATCCTAAGTGTGAACCAAACAACCTGTTCCCCACAAATGGTGACCCCCGGAAATTCGCACTCACACAGGATGGAGGAGAAACAGATCACGCTCCCAGTCTTCAAGCAACATGGAAGACTGGTTTATCCGCCCAGAAGCAGCTCTCATCGGCTCTACAGCTACTGTCTCTAAACCGCAGATTAGACACCCTAGAGCAACACTGCTTCTCTAAGCAGACACCAGCTCCTCTTCCTGCCCCAAGCACCACGTCCTACCGACCCCAGCACACCCGTCCTGCCTCAGACGCCGCCCCCGGCCCAGCAGTACCCCCTGCCGCTCCTCCTGATGCAGCCCCTGCTCCCGACGCGGCCCATGCGCCTGAGTGCGGACCAACACACCCCTCTCTTTTCCCTCAGGTACTCCCTACTACTGTCCTGCACCCTGCTGCTGTCGTGGACCTAGCTGCTGTCACGAGCCCTCATCCGCTTCTGCTGACGCAGCCCCTGCTCCTGACCCAGGCCCACACACCCCAGCAGGCGCATCTGACGACTCTGTACCTGCCGTGAGGGAAGCACAACATTCATCGCCTCCACACACCCTTTTTCTCCCTCTCTACTCCCACAGATATTGTGTATCTAGACAGTTGCCTCTAGCGGCTGGCTCATCCACGCCATCGCCGTTGTCTCACATGAGGCATGCACCGCCCGTTCTGCCTCACATGTGCCATGCAACCCTGCAGACAACAAGTCTCCTACACCGCCTGGAGGGAAGGAGGGAGTATTGTAGTGGATTTCTCCCCTACAAACGCTGTTTGTCGCTGAGTAGCCGACCCCGCGAATTCCCCAGTGTATGCCTCGTGGTCTAGGTCAACCAGCGCCGCCCACGGAGCGGGGGTCAACTACTAAGCCACGCCTACCCCCGCTATTTAAGACCTGACCTCGTGGTGATCTCTCTCTGACTGCTGGACTCGGAGCTGTGAAGACTTGCCTCTTCTGCTGCATGTTTGAGCAGTCTGCAACTTCGTTGTGATAGGACACTCAATCCTAGTGATTGTACTTACCCAACATAGCGACGGTGCAATTACCATCACAGATTGTACGAAACATTCCAACTTCTGAAAAACATATATTTGGGCTCCCCAAATTTTGACTACTACCCGTGCGTCTACGTCCTGGATTGGCCAATCAGTGGTGCCCCACGGTGGCGTGATACATGCACGTTTACTGCGGTGCTCTGATTGGCTAACCGAACGTGGCGTGGTAGGTAGACTGTCTCTACTCTCTAAGTCCTCTTCTTTCCTTTTTTCATCCCCCTCATGCACTCCGTTCCTTGAACGGGAGGCGGGACTTAGCGATACGGTCGATCCGGCAAGGGAACCTGTGATAGTGCAGGGCACCCCTTGTCCGGGGGTCACCGGTAGGTGGCAACTTTTTAGACATAACTATAGTCACAGGTAACCTGGGCGCAGAACCCTACGAGCCCGACGCCCGTCCAAGAGGGGGGGGCGGGGTCACTGCTCCCAGGCAGGAGCCCTGTGTTATAGGTAGGATTGGGATGTAATCAAGGAAGATGACTACAAGCATTAGAATAAAACATAGAGATAAGGGACACTCTATTGGAAGAGGAAAAGTGGCAGAAATCACTTACAACAAATTGCAAGTCCCACTAACAAGAATATTTAGCACCAACGAAGGTTTCAAAGTAATCTGTAAAGATGACTTTGACTCAGACAAAATCCTTTCAAAAGAAGCCAGAGATGTATTTTACAATGAAGGACTTGTTGTTGTCATGCCACCAAATCAAAAAGCAAAAAGATCAGTTTTCGTTCGTCAAGTCGACCAAGAGATCGGGAGGAAGACATCTGAAGATCTGAAAGATGAACTGGAACGCCAAAACAGTTGGATGAAGATCGAGGAAGTCATCAAGATAAAAGACTACACTCATGTTTTCAAGATTACCTTCGAAGAAGTTTCAATGGCTGAAAAAGTTTTACAACAGGGCTTTCTAATATTTAACATGTCAGTAACACCTCATCAAATAAAGAAGGAAACATTCATCAGTCTGCAAACTTGCTTTTCCTGTTACAAATATGAAGAACACACAACGAGAGACTGTCCAGAAAAAGAGAAAAAGTACTGCTCAGATTGTGCAGGCGACGACCATACCTACACTGAATGTAAGAACACACATGTTGGCTGTCTCAACTGTAAGAGAAACGGGAATGCATACATAGGACACAGGACGTTAGCAATGGCATGCCCAATAAAAAACACATGATAAAGTACAAGGAACAAGAAACAAGGAAAAAGGAACAAGACAAGAAGGATACGACATACGTCGAAATAGCCAAGAGAGCGGTCCAAGAGGCTCACAGATCAGAATCCACCATATTAAACTTAAGTGAACCAATACATGACAAGGTAATGATTAGTATGATCCATGCACATCTGCACAATATCATTGCACCCGGATCATGCAATGAGGAGTTAAGGAAAATGTTTAAATTGAATAACCTACCGGAGATGATATTCCCAGATAATCCAGAATCCGAAAAACTATTTCAGGCAACATACTCAAGCGAACTGAGAGAAAGACTACAGCCAGACAAACAAAGGTTTGAGCAAGGAGCATAGTTTACTTGTACTCTAATACTGAGTAAAGCTGTGCTTGCACATTAGTTTTTCTGAAGTACTTGTACTTGATTCCAACCCTGGTTGTGGATGGTGTTTATGGGAGTGGTGGTAGTTGTTGTGGTATTGGGTGGTGTAGTGGTTGCTGTTGACGTGCGTGTGTGTGTGAGTACTGTCATGCATAACAAAATAATATTCTTATCCTGGAATCAAACTCACCTTAACAGACGAACATCTTTCGAATAACTATTATCACAAACTACTACAGTACGACACACTCTTCCTGGCCGCGAGGGTGGTTTACTGTATGTGGGCACCTGAAAAACTGTAAAGGCCCTCACCAGGTGCAGCGGGAAGCGACTAACGTACGTCCATCCCCAATATTAGCTGAGCACACACTGACTCTAATATTACAATGCTCGACAGTAACTCACCCTGCAGGTCGCCGCCGGCAAGTTCTATCGAAGAGACCTTGGCCTCCAGTAGTCCAGTACGCTCACACCATCACTACATGGAAGTAAATATTAAGTATGAGAAAACTGGGCGTTACGTAACAGCATTAAGTTACTAAAAATGTAATCTACGTTTTGTGTTTGGCTTAAAGAATGTTGTGATGCGTGGTATGCGATGCTGCTACAAGTTCATTTGTTTCACAGTGTATATATATATACTGTATATCGTACCTGTTGAGCCTCGCACTGAGGAAATATATTTATAATAATGAAAAATGTAATAAACTCGCTGGTTACTGAAGCCAACAGTTACTGTATATAGATGAATTTTGTTCACCTTACGAGCGACCTTGACGCTGAGGTGATGTAACCTTATTGCCTCACGACTGGACCAAGGACCCGCCGCCCTTCCTGTTCCTATGGGATAACTTACCTACCACACCGCGCATATATTATCGTTTTCTATTGAGTTCTTACAGGGGATGAGATTCTTGGTGAATATTGTCTTTTGTTGTTCAACGCGACAGTGTTTTACGATATACTGATGACGTATAAAGAACCGTGTGTGAGGCAGGTGACCGACATATGGGAAAGTTGTACGAGGAAGTTGTTGGCGAGGGAAGGACAGCCATGATTTGAATCAATTATTTGTCCATTACGCTTCTCTCTACACTTGACTGGTGGTGTAATCTATAATCTGTTAGAGGCAGTTAGACCATCTGTACGTCCAGCAGATAATAGACCTACAGTATATACCTGCAGAGGAAACTTTACTACTCGACAACCTGACAAGCGGTGTGTTCTTTGGCCAGACCATTCAACACTTCCTAATGAAACAATTAAAACCTGAAGTGGGAAGAAACATGGCCAGGGAATCCCGGACAGCACACTGATATCGTGTGTCCATCACTTTTTAGAGGTGTACCATATGTAATACACCGGAGGCCTTCACGTGAGCTTACATGGTCACATCTCAGCAGCACACAGATCGACCTCTAGTGGCTGTGCCTGGAGACAAAACTGACATTCTTTTGTTCAGCGGCTGGAGGCTGGGTCAGCGGGGTATATTTTATTCCATTCCCACCGGGGTTGAGGCAGATGACTGACTGTACATTGTGAGGATGCTCGTAACACTACACACGCTGTGGTGTCTGCCGAAAACTTCGAGGGGCGAATACAGTCGTCAATCTTTCACTGATGTTTAACAGAATCACTCGTATCTTGAACAAGTTCTGTATAAACTATACTTCTTTCACAAAAACAGGTTTGTAGCCAAGGCGAAGATCAGGTTCTATCAGTGAAGCTGATTGGTTGGCGGAGTGAGGTGCGTTGGGTTAGTCTAGACCTCTTATTATTTAATTTAATTTCTTCATATTCTCAGTTGCAAGTAATAGTCCTGGATCATTAGGTTCCACTATATGATGGGAGCCTCAACTAGTTGGTATAAGCTGATTTTCTCCGGGTAAATCCCCAACAGTCTATAAAAACATACTAAAAGTCTCCACTAATCCTGCTTGTGCTCACCCGCCGGACTGTCATCTATACAGTACAGTCAGGATAACAAACATGGGAGTTAAGTTCTCTCAATTGTGTATCTACTATTCAGGATCATGGAGGCAGCTTACACGAAATTACTGAAAAACTCGATGTGCCCTTTGAAGTATACACTATTAGCCGTAACTACACTCATAAAACTACAAGTGAGGGTCAGCATGAGTTGATCAGTCAAGTAAAGACCCAAGAACAGACGCCTCTAATAATAATAGAGCATTGAGTACAATTAATACAAGTGATGAGGCTGGACATAATATCCTAAACCGCATTCCAACCGTTTGTGACTGTTGCCCGGGAAGGCCAAATATTGCAGGAGAAGAGGAAAGGAAGCTTCCATAAAACTATGCCAGTCACTAGAGAATGGCAGAATGGCGTGTCCGTGCGCCAGGACTCCTGAAATAGCTCAACGCCTAGAGCAGTTCCTTGAAGGTAAAGAAACTTACACCCAAAAATATTTTGCTTTAACTTAAACCTTCATTACGATGGAGACATTGTCATACACAGTACAGGTTGAAAGCCAAAGGTTTTGTTTTGAAGACAGAGGATACAAAGGAAAGCAAAGAGAGACTATGAAATCAAAATAGCAAGAGAATCCAAGGCGAATCCCAAGGGATTTTTCCAGGTATATAGAACAAAGGTCAAGGACAAAGTTGGGCCTTTAAAGTCAGGGAGGGGAGAAGTGATAAATGGCAGTGAAGAAATAAGCAAAGCATTGAATAGCTACTTCTTACCAGCTTTCACAGAAGAAATTTGAGATGAAATTCCAGAGGTGGAACTGATATTTAAGGGAAAGGAAGAAGAGAAATTAAAGAATATCACTATCAGGAAAGAGGATGGTCTTAAGAAGATAAATAAACTAAAGAAGACAAAATCCCCAGGGCCGGATGAAATTTACCCTCGAGTCTTGAAAGAGTGTAGGGAACAGATTAGCGGACCCCTCGTAAACTTATTTACAAAATCATTAGACACCGGAGTTGTGCCAGACTTGTGGAAACAGGCAAATGTAGTACCCATATTCAAAAAGGGAGACAGAGCATCAGCGTCAAATTACCGGCTGATCAGTTTGACGTCAGTAGTGGGGAAAGTTCTTGAATCAATTATAGCAGATAGCATCCGATCGCATCTAGAGAAAAGCAAATTAATCTACGACTCTCAACAGCGTGGGAGGGGATCGGTGGTAGAAGCGGTTCCGTTCTTGCCTAGCAAGCAAGATGTCACCGGTTCGATTTCCGGGCCGGTGGAAGTTGTTTGGACTTACTTCCTAGCCCCCATTAGTCCCTGTTCACCTAGCAGTAAAGTAGGTACCTGTTGTTAGTCGAAAGTTGCGAATTCGTATTCAGGGACAAGTTGTTGGAGCTTCCAATAACTTGATGACATAAACCACTGACTCTTCAGGCTTCTACGCCCTTGACTCTTCAGGCTTCTAAGCCCTTAACTCATGAGACATAAAGGCAAGCATGAACTTAGCATGCTTCCCTGTTGGGCGCTGTAAACGCTTCTGCGCTTCCCCTTACACAATGATGTAGGAGCCAAAAAAAAAAAAAGCGTGGGAGAGCATAGGCTCGTCGATCGCCCACCCACCCACAGTGGGTGGATCAAGTGTGTCGTCAGCAGGGGGACAGTGATAGGGAGTGCTGTGTGTTTGAGTGAAGTGTCTTAAATACCTGAACAGTGTCGTAAAGCTTCGGTCTGCGCGTTCGGGGCTGTGAGCGTTCATTTCCGAACAGGGAGGCCGCGCACCCAGTGAGCGAAGGTTTCAGAACACCAGGACAGTGTCGTAATGTTTGGTCTGGGCGGACGGGTAGTTAGCGTTCGCTCGGACACGCACGCAAGTGATTATAACTAACAGCTGATCTTCCCAGTGACACCATAGTATATCAAATATCAATCATATCGCAAAATTAACTTCAGAAAATAAGCACAAAGGTTCGCTTAACAGATACATAATTCTGATAAGATTCATAAACTTTTACTTTGTCTTTATCTTAAGTGAACGTATATAAGTCTTAGTATATTTCACGGTAATTATATAAGACGTTGGTGTTACATTTAGATTTAAGTCAAACAATGATGATTAGGAACCATGAAGAAATACATAAATGAAAGGGATTTGTGGGTTAAGTGTGTACAACATTCAAGTTATATGTACTAGTACTTATATATATATATATATATATATATATATATATATATATATATATATATATATATATATATATATATATATATATATATATATATATATATATATATATATATATATGTGTGTGTGTGTATGTGTGTGTGTGTGTGTGTGCAATTAAGAAATAACAACGAAGGTTGTGACAAGCCGTAATTGTACAAGTAAGGGCGCCGCAGTAGCGTTTGTGACATAAGTTGTGTAACGAGTCCCTACATTGATTGTGGGTCTCTGTGGTTGTGTTAGTGTGACATCCTAGCTCGTGTGTGACATCACTCGTGCGCATGGCACGCGTCTGTGTGACATCAACTCCAATTGTGTGACATCAACTCATCATAACAAACGAGGAGGGTATGGTGGCCAAACTGGAACACCTTGCCCCAGTTGGCACCAGTCACCATACAGTGTTGTCATTCAGATTTAACTGTTACCTAGTTCAAGATAAGGCCAGGCCAAGGTGCAAATATTACAAGGGAAATTACAATGGGATGAGGGAAGAGATGAGGGGTATCAACTGGCCTGACTTATTAAGGTACAAGAACGCAGACACTACGCTGAATATCATAACTAGTAAAATGACCCATTTGATCGATAAATATATACCCAAGACCAAACCCAGTGCTTCTAGGAATACGAGGGGATCCCTACACATGAACCATGCGGCGGTCGACAAAATTAAGAAGAAAACCCAGAAATTCAAGACGTGGGTTGGGTCAAACGATGAGCAAGACAGGAGGATGTATGCAAGAGCCAGAAACCAAGCAAAGATAGAGTGTAGGAGGGCTGAAAAGGAGTTCCAAAGGCTGGTTGCACGCGAGGTCAAGTCAAACCCAAAGGCGTTTTACCGCTATGCAAAGTCGAAATTGAAAACGCGAGTAGGAGTATCAGACCTGAGGCTTGAAGATGGTAGTTACGCAGATTCTGACCAGGATAAAGCTGAGGCATTGAACAGCTTCTTTTCCTCAGTGTTCACAAGAGAGGATGCAACTAACCTTCCTGCGTTTGAGGACAGACGGTTCGACACAGCACTGACCCACATTGTGTTCACAGAAGAGGGTATTAGAAATAAACTGTCCAGGCTAAAGGTCCATAAGAGTCCTGGACCTGACATGGTGCATCCTAGAGTGCTAAGAGAGCTGTGCAACGAGCTTGCAGAGCCCCTGAAGATTCTGTTTTGTAAATGCCTGGATGAACAAATGGTC